TTTTGCGCACGAGTTTATTGGTTTCAATAGGAAGTTTCTTGGAATTTTCGTTCAAATGACTGATTACAGAATGCTTTTGTTGTACTTTTATTCCTTTCCACGATAATACATTGATAAGTTGTTTAATCATTCTTTTATAATTTGTAACAGTTTATTCCACTGATTTCACACACATTATAGAGAATTGAAAAAACTTTAAGTAAGTAAAGAAGAATATTCAGAATAAATTCTCGATACAATCGATGATTAAATGTGTTAGAATAGGCCAACGTACTTTATAATTCGATGTGTAATTCCAATCATGTTAATAAAAATCTTTTTCTTTTTCCGTATAATATTAGTTGGGTATATGTACAATATATAATTATCACTGGGACTCGCGCACCAATCATGAACGCGATAACTTGATTCTCTTATTTGTTTCCTTTTTACGTATCTCGTATTAGCTAACAGAATTTTGGTCCATGCGAAAAATCTCCCCTTGTCGACATTCATGTACATGTATACATTTAAGCGAATTTTCATTTATTTTCTACATCCGGTGATCTCAAGATGACTCTACACGCACACCGGACAAACGGACTTTCGGTTTTTATTAATATTATTATTATTAGTTTTTCTTTTGTAATATATATGTATATATATTTTTTGTATTGTTTGCGCGACAATTATGCGCATCGTCATCGCATCGAGCCTGTGTTTATCACTGTCATCTTTCTCTCTTTCGTTCGTGCGGAGCGACAATCGTCACGTGGGGCTCATTGTTCGGGAATGATTCTGTACTCTGTCGGATAGCTGTGAAGCGACGTGTCTCCGGTAGTGAGGGGCGGTAGTCCCAAGGCACCTGAAAGTACCACCAAGCCCCCTCTAAGTCCCTATGTTCTTTACACTTTTCTTCTTTTAGTACGTGAAATAAATAGTTGTTAATAAAAATCCTGAATTGACATGATAATGAAGCTTTGGATAATAATAGTTCGAAAAATCTAACATCTACGACAAGCAAAGATAAATATAGTGAGATTTGAAATGAATTAAAGTGAAAAATCAAGCATTGTCAAGTTGGATTTTAAAGTAGAAAATATTAATAAAATTAAAGGAAATAGAAATAAAAGAAGGCAGCTTCTTTATTATGTTTATTCATAAATCTCTAACAAAAAATTCTTCACGTACTTTATACATTATTTCTCTATATAAAAACTATGAATTGAAACTTTTTCATACGAAACGTTCACTATTTTTACTCAGTAATACCGAGAAAAAACATGTTTTATTGCATAACACGTTCGTACATTCGTTGATATGTATGAAAGCTACTGACAAAATAAAATCACTACAGACTACGTTAAAAAAACTACACAAAACAAATGAATGAAAAATAAAAAAGAAAATAATAATAATAATAAAAGAAAATCATAGAGAAATAAGGTGGTGGTGCTGCATTACGAGGAAAAAAGAGAAAAGCGGTGGTGCCAGAGAAAATGCGATCTCGCAATACGCTCTCGTACGACGATACAGAGAAAACGGTGTATTCGCTATCAGCGTCGTTGTTTGATTTCGCTTGAGCTTGACGGATCGTCAAATAAATCAAAGCTCGCGGTGAAAATTTACGGGTCACTGCCAAACGAACATAGAAAAATATTCTGATCCACCTCTCGGTAAAAAAAAGTGTAGAATGAAAGAAAGAACGGAAGAGAAGGACAGAGAGACGCGACACAAAGTTTTTCGGACATTGGTGAGCGCAATGGGAAACACGGTCAGCGCGACTGGTAGCCTGGGCCGCCCATCGACGAATTTCACACACATACACGTATATATATACACACACATATATAGCTATATATATATATAATTTCTCTTTGAATGCTCTCTTTCTCTGTGTGTCTAGTTATGGCGTGACGTGCCGGGAATTCAATCCCAACAACGCGAGCGGCCGCTGCTACCAGCTACGCACCGCGCGGCCATGCCTCGTGAACCATTCAGTTTTTGCCGTATACGGCAGCTGTTTTTTTTATTTCTCTTTCTGTAACCAATTGTACTGTATTGTGTGTCATGAATAAGAAATATTCGTCCGAAATAAATGCTTGAAATATTTTCAAAAATATGTAGTTTAGATAGAAATTATATTTATTAATAAATTCTTGAAACGTTCAGTAACGTAAGTGTAAAAGTGTAAAAGTTGAATTATAAATAAATTTTTGTATATAGTCGGGCGTGTGACGAAAGCAAGTATGGATTGGTGATCGTTACGGAATATTGGAGGAGTATGCTCTTCTTCCTATTATTCCACGGAATATTCTCGTGGAAATAAGAGACCAATGTCCGAAAAACATTATTCATCTCGCAATTCATTGTGCCGATCACGCAGATTTATTATCTTTATAAATTAGTAGAAATGAAAAGAAAAATAACATAGGCGGATGATCTTTTCAAAGAATAATATCTTGATTTTAATTATTCATAATGTGGGAATACGAAAATTGAGTAGCGTATTACGAAATCGCAATTTCTGCTGGCGCTCAGCTTTATTGCATAATTTGTTATGCTTTGTTATTGAAATCGACGCATGCTGAACACCACGCTTTGTGAAGTTTCGTCATAAAATTAGAGCTTGTCTATACTCTGTTACAGCATTGTCTTGCTCTCGCTTCATCTCTGTTCAAGAACTTTCGTTTACCATTTCATTTCTGCCCCCATTGTAACAGTGTCCAAATGCAAGATGACTTATTTCTTAATTTAGCCGATCGCCATCGCGCAAAATAATCGCCATAGGCAACTGAGCCGAATCGACATGGAATTAAATGAGTGTAAAAGAGCAAGACGAGTAAACAGAAAAGAAAAACTGAAAGCCAAAAGCATGGAATAAAAACAAGAGAACGAACGGAGACGTAAGTGACGGGCAAACAAACGGGAAAGCAAACGAGGAAGGGTAGAAAAAAATCCAAAGGATTGGATGCAAGCACAACTGGGACAAGGAGAAAGAGGGAAGAAGGGAGCATCGTAAGGCCAGATTGGTAAAGCCGCGCTCGCGCGCGCGAGCAGAAATTATTACTCCCTCGGCGTTGTATCGCGCGCTCGAGACCACCTGCTATTTGTCTTTCGCAGAACGAGGGTCGACGTTAATAAAGACCTTCTTGTGGCTTACTAGGAATATTAAAAACGAACATTGGGGTGAGAGAGAGAAAAAAATGCTCAGTCGATTCACGCTTTTGTTTTGATTGCAATTGCCATTCCAAATGAATTTTTCTAACTTTATGCTAGAACACACATCTCATTTGTTTGCACATCGTTTCATTTTTTTTTTCAAAATGGCGTGATTGAAATTCGTGCGATATGAATTGCAAATTAACGCGTCTTTGCGTGAAATAAAATTTCGCGGGTTCAATATGAACGTACCGGTATGAAAAAGTGATTGAAAGAGGCGCAATTTTCATCCAGATTTTCTCACATTGTGATTTTAGTAAATCCCACGCAGCCGTTGATTATTTGATAATTGCGAAAAACAGATAAGTAATTTCGGAAAAACGAACAAGCTCTGCAGTCTACGCTAATTCATCTAAAAAATTAAGCCATTTGGGAAAAAGCTCATTGTATCATAATAATTACATAAGGTTTACTGTTCCTCCACTGCAAACTAGCTTAACAGACATTATTTTAATTTTTGTGTTTTATCCATCATACGCTTTTTGTACAAGTATTAATTAGTTTTTTAATAGTACTCAAATCGAAAGGTGTTCTTATATTCTTAGAATTATTATAAATCATGTCATATATAAATTTATCTTTTGCTCGCTTAACGCGACATACCACTCGTGATTAATAAACATTACATGTATACATTACAATATTTATTATCATATAGAATATATAATGAAACACGTAATCGTAACTGTCAATCACAAAAACAAAAAGAAAAGTCGTGAAGCCCTGGAAAGGAGTGATCCAGTGAAAACTCTATCCTGACTAATCGGTTGTCTCGTCATGAATTTTGTACAGTTCCCGGCATCACAGCTTGGAAACGGAAGCTCTGATCTGGAGTGGCACTATAAACGCGCCACTTGTTTTCACATACATTCCCTCTCGCTCACTCTCTTTCTAGCATCCACAGTATAAGCGTCAGTGGCGTCCCGCACCTTCCACCCTCACTCTCATTCTCTCTGTCTCCTTGGGAGTTTGTGCATGCGTAGTATACGCGCAAAAGCTCACAGCTCGAAAAAGAATCACGTCTGACAGTCTCGAGAATTGCGAGGCGAGAGAGGACGCGGCTAATTAAAGCCTAATTAGCGGCGTCGGTGGAGTTATATGTGTACGTAAGCGTGTCTGTCTGTGCCCATGAGGGTTCCCCGCTTTCTCTCCCTTTCTGTCATTGGTGCGATTATTCATAATATGGCTTCAGCTTATGTACACTTTTGCGAAATTAGTTGATTGGGTCGGTTTTCATTAGTATTTATATTATTATTATTATTCATAATTATTATTATTATTAATATTACTATTATTATAATAATTATTATAATTATTATTATTGTTATTGTTGTTGTTGCTATTTTTGTTGTTGTTATTATTCTTATTATGCGACGATGATCGCGCTTTGCGGTTAGACAGATCATTGCTGCGAGGTATCGCAGCAGCAAGTCAAGTTAAGTCAAGTCAGAGAGTGGACAATATTATTATAGCGAGAGACACAGGCAGACAAGAGACAAGAGAGTGAGTAATTCTAGTTAACTAGTTAGTTCACAGAGGCATGGCGTTGTAAAGGTCCAAATTGGGATGGTGGTAAAAGAGTGCGGTAGGCGTAGCGGCGGCTGCTGCTGGATTGTGATGGGCGGCGGCGGCGGCTGCAGCAGCTGCTGCCGCGGCAACTGCTGCAGCGGGCGCCGTCGCCTGTATGTGGTTCAAGTTGAGGTTGAGGGGCGCGTGATGGGTGGCGACATGGTGAGCGTGGCTGGCTGCCGTATTATGGTGGTTCACTTGGTTAAGGTGGTTAAGGCTAAGGTGGTTACCTGTTGGGTACGGGAGTCCGAAGCTCGGGTAGCTGGAGTAGCCGCGGCCCGCCGCGTATGCCGCGTACGCCGCTGGGAAACCTGCAACACAATCCAGCGCGACTGTTTAACAGTGTCCTATTGAAAACTAATTAAGTCGTTTGAAACGAAAGAGTATTAGCTCGATCTTTTAAAATATTATACTATCAAAAGTCATCTAAAAGTTGAATTTTGTTACTCACCTTCTGGTAGTGCTCCCAGGGACCACATGAAATCTATAATGGAAAAATGAATATCGATTAATACATTGCATTTATTAAAATTCAAAGTTATTGAATGCTCAAACAATTTCTTTTTTGTCAAATCATTTTTCGATAAGTCTTATTGTAATTTTGATGGTTCATTTCCAAATTTTTTCTCCGCAATCATTTTGTAAAAATTTGTAAACGCATGTAAAAGAAGCAATCATTTTTTCCAACAAAACTTCAAGAATAAGTGATCATAAGAACAGAAATAAAATTACCAGTGAAGAAGATTTATGTGGGTTATAAAAGCGACTAGGTTAGAGAAAACGTGATATTGACCAAGAAAAGAGAAGAAAATTAAAAGGCAAGAAAAAAGAAGAGATAGAGTGAAGACAAATATAGACAGAAGAATAGAAAAAGTCCTAGAGAAATAAAAGGCATCCATGAAATTTCATAATTTGACACTAAATTCAAAGACCACACAACTAATATTTCGACTATGTCGTTTGACTAGCTTATTAACTAATTTCTGTAACATTAGGTAACTAATTAACTACGCGCGGCCGTTTATATATTGAAAATATATATCTGTATCTACGACAAACGAAACCTTCCTATTTGTCTATGGTTATTATAGCCTTTAAGGTATATATTAGTTAATTATATAATTATCGGTTAAGTATAATTCTCTATGCTCTCTAATACAGCTTATTATATATTGACTATGACCGGCAAAACTCTTAGTGCGCATTATAAATATAATCCAAATTTCATGCTCTACCTAATTATATTTTTATTCTATATTTGACGATTATATTTTCGATTCATAGCATAAATCCAAATTGGGTGAAAATACATTTTTTACTACAAAGGAACATTATATTATACACTAAGAGTGTATGCCAGCCTCACTACGACATATACAATATTCGTTTATATATTGACGATACAATATTGATATATAAATAAACACCGACCACAATCTACACTACTAGCTCATAAAACTATTCTATTATAGTATATATCCGCACACCGCTCGCGCGGCTGCGTACACGCAAATATTACATTATTGAGCATTTTTTAATTTCTCTAATCAATGAGATACACTGATACATAGTAAAAGTATTAGTTATTGCCGTACCTAAAGTTTCTACCGGGCTGGTTTTCGATTACATCAAGCACACAACGTCAGTTTTTGCAGTACTATTCTCTCTCTCTCTTTCTCTCTGTTATTGAATGCGAAAAAGCTCATGAAATTGTTAATCATAAATAACATTTGTTTTTGTCTTTTTCCCCGCTCTTTGATATCTTGAATATGTAATTATGTTTTTCTCATTTAGTGCATGTTGTTAAATATGTCTTTTCCGATATTTATATCAAAGCGTGCAATATTTCATAAATATACATTTATATAATTTCAATTACTACAGAAATATTCATTCAACAACCGACTCAGTAACGTTGTCGAAACAGTCATCATGAATTATATAACCAGCGTTGGAATGGTATAAGTATTCAATGATAGAAACAAGAAAATCGCGATACTCACTAGTTTTTACACAATCTTGTAGTGGTATCACGTCTCAGTAGATAACCATGATATAAGTCTGTTTCAAAGCTTTTGGGCTGTTTGAAAAAAAAAGAAAGAAACTGTGTCGCTACACTCATTCCAACTTCCCCGTGAAGAGGATCCATGTGAGACGGGCAAGCTCCGAGGAAAATCCTTTAAATTTACATAGCTTTTTCTTTTGGCTTTGTAATGCTTTTTCTCACTCTGTCTCTCACTCTTGACACTCTCTTTCTCTCTCTCTCTCTCTCTCTCTCTCATTCATGCTAGCTGTGAAAAACTGCGCGAGCCCGTGTATACGTTGACGCGGTACACAAACGCATGCGTAGTTAAGTGTTGCAAAAGTCATACACAGATACATATATGTATATATATATAATATATACACGTAGCTCAAGTATGTTTCTCGGTCTTTCTCTTTGCTCGAGAACAAATTCATTGGAAGTCGTGTTTTTTCACTTCAAGTTACGATCGTGCGAACTTTTGGATGCAACTATCCGCCCGAAGCGCCTACTGCAGCATTGAATACGTAAATTTAGGTCTACGTGCTGCATAGCGCATGATAATAAATTATATGTGTAATGTGTGTGAATCGCACGAGAGAAAAATTGCAAAGCAGCGACATTGAACTTTGACATAATTATGTTTAATAAACTCACAGCGCATATATAATTCGAAACAGGATATTTATTTTTGATTTATTTTACTTTTTCTCGGAAAGGAAAAGTTATTTTTCACCGAAAATAAATGATGTTATCATTTGCCATTAATATGAACGAATTTTTTCCTCGCTACCGTGCGCAAGCGCTTGCATGGCTCCAAACGGAAATTCAGGCTTTTGATAAAAGTCTCGCGCTCGTGCAAAAAATTTGCTCTAGCAATGAAAGAGTCTGCAAAAAACCAAACAAACAAAATAGAACGAGATTTACGCGCCTTCATGTGTACACGGGCAAGTGCATTTTCCACAGTTTTTTTTGACAGTCTCACTCTCAGCTCACGCGTGCTAAATCAAAATCCGGCCCATGGTATGAAGCTTGTAAATAAATCATACAGATTTAAACAACGAAAAAACCTGATGGTTAAGTTCTACTTACGAAACTGACAGTGTTGCTGCCCCTCGGGCAAAGTACGTACTTTTTATCTAGGGCACACGTCTCACGCATTAATATATTAAGATATAATGGCTATATAGCTTAAGAAGTTTAAGTAGACTATGAACAAGTAATTAAAGGTGGACAGGTATTATAGGTATATAAATAAGGTTTACGTATAGATATATGTATTTAGTTCTATACTCTTTAAAGGTATAATAATGATAATAATAATAATACGTATATATATGTAACTATATATGTAACGTTGACGTTTTTGTTTTATCTCAATTAATAGGTACGATATATATAAATATGTAGGTTCTGATACAGCCGTTAATTTATGTATTCCCGGTGGAAGAGTATTTTTACGCGTCAATAAATTGCCACAATTGACGCAAGCGAAAAATTGCACTGCTCATTAAAATAAAAAAAGACGAAGTGTAACATCTGAGTTAGCAGCGTTACGAGCCACGAATAACGAGCTAGAAAACAAAACGATAAATTTTTCCAGCAGCGGCGGCAAAGCGAATAGGTTTGAACTTTTCTCGCATCCGTCCGTAATTAAATGAAAGGAACTACGATTCTTAGAAAAGTCTCGATCCAGGCTGATGAAGTTTACTGATTACTCGGTCGTTCGGATAAAAAAGAAAGAAAAGAGAGCCGGGAGCGGAGTAAGAGGAAACGACTTCTCGAGCAGGCATTTACCTCGCAAACGAGCACTCTTCCAAATCACTTAGCCGCGTCGACTGGATTAATCAAGAAAATACGAGAAAGAAAATAATATCCCGGAAACTGACGGAGCAGCGCACTTTTCTCCTATCACCTACGGGAGCCACGGTGGCTCCTTCTCCATTTTTTGTGCTTCCATTTGCAATTTCATCGCGATAAAGGACGTTTTCCAACTGAAATTTGCGGTGCCACTCTTCCACCTGAGAAATACATAAGACATAGTTCTAATGACTAACGGCATTTAGATTAAACGACTTCTCTCCAAAAAATCTATGCATTATACTCTCTAGTTTTTTCAATAATAATAATAATTAATTAGGAAGGTATTTACTCGTTACGTAAATTAATTAGATATATTCTCGTCTAGCTAAAAATGGATCCTAGGTCGCCTATGAAGAACTGTCGATATACATAATAAATTAAGACTAGTATGTTTTTGTGCCTGCTGTTTCACACTTAGAAACAATCTTCCTTGTTGGATTACCTATAATGATTAGTTAGAATATCTTCTAGATACACAGTTTAAGGAACTATTCTTTTTAGCGGAAAACTAATATCGACTTTTATTTTTGCATTCAATTTGATTCAGTAAAATCGATACTTTTCCACTAAAAATCTACAATCTATCAGTACACTGATGATAAATTTTATAAAAACAAAGATCTCGACCATGAATATATATTTATTCTAATCACCCAAAAATTAAACAAAACTCAATCTAGCCTACTTTCTGAGGCCGTGACAAGAAAAAGAATGTCCAATATCTCTTTGCATAGAATATTTTCAAAGACTATTTATTTGTACAAAATAAATCAACGCTTCCTTGTGTATACTGTGTGTTTCTTGACAAAATTGTGTTGGCATTGTGTGATCGATTGAAAAAAGAAACTTTCCGAATATATTTTGTGAAAAATTGTTTGTCGTGTAAACCTTTGTGAAATTATAAATATAAATATCTAACTCAATTATTAGTTTGATGTATTTTAAATAATGGTCGACAAACTAAAAGTTGTGTATTAGTAATACTGCTTTTATAAAATTTATTGATATGGATATATAATATTAAATGTAGAATACTTTTCATAAGACAAGTATAAAACAGTTCGGTTTTTCTTTATCGCCGTTCAAAATCAATAATTCTCTTCTTCACGTATAAGTACATATATGTATATTCATCATATAAATAATTATATCAAATCCAAATCTCTTTTTAAATATATATTTTTGTATAAGGAATTCATTATATATATATGTATATATATATATAAATTTGTGTGTGTATATATATAGAGATGCGTAATACACATATATGCGTTTTCGTAGCCTTTCATATATATGTTTTTCTCTATGATATCAATATTAGAATACTGTTTATCCGTTGATTATATATCATCTCACATCGTTATTGTTTTGGCATTATGAAATTTCATGAAGTTATACAAAACTCGTGAAACGTATATATTTCTGAAAAGGCGTGGCGAACAAGAAGTACACAGCTCCGCGCGCCACTCCTTGACCACCTCCGCCTCCTTTAACAGCCGCGCAAATACCTTCTTGCAAGTGCGCCTTCTCGCACAAAGAGAAAACGCGAGCTCGCCACTTTTCTTTTTCCAAAGTTCCCTCTCTCGTTCGCCATTCGTCACCCCCTCCCCCACGAGACTATTTCCCTCCGCTTCCCTCTTTCAAGCACATGTGTCTGGCGTTCCTTCTTTTCTTTCTTTCTTTTCTTTTTTTATTTGCTCGTATGTTTACCTATCTGGGACCTTGTTTATCTATTTCCGCGTATACGTGAGTTTTTATCGCTTGGAATGTCAATTCCTATGAATTGAATCGTAAATTCACGAATTTTTATATACGAACAGCTCATTGCCAATTATTTATACCTACATTACTATCAACAAAGACTCTTTATAATGAATGATTATGTCAGTCATTCTGAATGAAATTTGCATAGCTATAACTTTCGTCAATTGCTATAGACTTAATCTGTGGCTATCTTAAAGTGTATATGTGGAAATTTACACTGTTCGTGTAAATATTTTTACGTATAATTTTCTATTTCAGCTCTGGGTACGATCGTATAAGAAAGAAACAAAGAAATACAGAGAAGAGTTAAATCATGACTCAAGGATGCTCACGTGAGAGAGTCTACGTCGAATGTGAGTATATCATATGCGCCTTTTTGTGCAGGGACTGAGAAAAATCTTGGCTCGAGCGCAAGAGTGAAAAATTATTTTTTTTCTGTCTTGCAAAAATGAAAATATCTGCGTATACATTTTCGTATCTGCCAATCTGTCGAGATCGCGTTAAGTTACGTAATTTATTTTAACAAGAATAAGATTGAAAAACAGCAAGAAAATCGAAAGAATGTTTTATAAAAACATATATTGAACGTAATCACACGTTTACCTTTGTTTTCATTTAGACTTTAATCAAGACTAGATCATTTCTATTATAAGATAAGTAAATTTCAGTTCGTCAAAGCAATAAATAAATCTTTGCAAAAATTCACTGAAAATTTGTACTTTGCACTACAGTAATCTAAAATTGACTACGTTTTACTTTCTACTTAATATACGTATCAGTGATATGCCTATACTTTTAATTTTAGATTGCAATAAAGATTGTATTTTCTTTTGAATAGCATTTTTGTAAACAGTTTGTTTATCAACAATACTTGACACGACAATTTTTTAAAATGCTTTAGAGTATGGTAAAAGAAATATATAAACAGCCTATTACAAGATTTAACATGACGGTTTAATTAATACTGCTCTTTTTCTTTGACTGTCAAAGTTCAACATTGATGAACACTAAATTTTTTATTAAGTCAATATTTCTACTACTTTACGAGTTTACTGTTTCTAAGAATCCATATCCAGTCTTCCAAAAGGATTCAAAATTTTATTCGCAATTACTTTGATTTTAGTTTTTTTCTACGGTCTATCGAAAAATGAGGCCTCCATTGGTATCTACAATATTCGACTAATCTTATTCTATTACTCGCGAATCTAAAACTTGAATAATATGTAACACTACAATCACAGTGTTCATAATCTGAGCTTATCGTCGCAGTCTTTTCTTAAAACACAAGTTTTGAATTCATCATCTTACATCCAATTTTTTAACTACACTATGATTGCACTTTTTGATATGTCAATGCTAATCTTTTTTAAAGCTGATTGAAAGCATTTCACATTTTTCATTATCAACGAACTTTTTTCGCTACAGTAATGTTTAACAAATTATATTTCTTCTGTAAAATTGTATTCTACTTTGTCATTTGGCACACTTTTTATTCAACGAAAATTTGTTGTCTCGATGTTTATTCATTTATCTTTCGAAATACTACACTACTAAGTGGCACATTAGAGTAAATCACAAGACATTTTTCGTTGTACCAAAATTTGTTTTAAAGGCTGTAAATACTGATTGTAATAACTTTAGTATTTTTAATATACGTACAAAAAAACTTGCAAGTATTGAATTCTAGATTCGTAAAAAATGTCTACAAGTACAATAGTAATATCCGAAAATCCCGATTTCAACGTTGAAATACTCTACTCAGATCATTATCAACTTGCTTGAATTCGACAAAGCAAAGAGACAAAACTAAAAAAAAAATAAATTTTTTACTGAGGCCTAGTCAGGGGCGTGAGAATAGTCGTCGGTCATAGCCCAATAGTATGACCAAGCGGATGATAAACGGCGCCCATGTCGAGGCCCTGAACGCCTAACAGATCGCTCATGGAGTAAGTCAAGCTGGCGGCCCTGGAGGCCGCGGCCGCGGCGGCGGCTCCCGGATGGGGCCTGTAAGCCGCTGCGGCAGCCGCGGCGGCCAAAGCCCGCTTGACGTCGTATACGGCTTGCGCTGCTGCGGCGTTTGGCTGCGCAGCGGCAGCCGCGGCTGCAGCGGCATACTGATAGCTCGCAGCCGCGGCCGCGGCAGCTGAAGCCGAGGAGGCGGGTGACGGCTGGGTGCTGCTAACGAGAGTCGGGGCGAGCAGCGCGGCTGCGGCGGCCGGATGATGGTGGGAAGTGGTGGCGGCTGCAGCGGCGGCGGCCACGTGGGCCGCGGCCGCCGCTGCAGTCGGGGGCAGGGGGTACGGCGCGTAGCGGTAAGACGCGGCGGCTGTCACTGTGGGGGGCTGGGCGACCATCACCAACTCACCGTAAGCACCTCGGCCGGCTGCCCGCGTCTTCGCCAGGTTCGCAGGTAGCATCACTTCTTTTGGCTGCGCTTTCTTGCATTCAACCTGCAATGTGTACGAATAAACAAATGTCATATGTCTTTTCAGTCGAATCGTTATTAGTATTATCCACGACGCTTTCCACGCAACAGGACATTAAGTCTGACTCTTTTTCCCTTGTACTACTTAATGTTACTTCAGCAACTCGTGTTTGTACATTTCGCAGTTTCAAGAAACTTTCGACTGAATAATGGTTTCCAATGAGCATCGCAAGTCCAATTACTATCATTGAATATTATGCGCATCTACATGCGCATATTAAGCTTGCGACGTACATATACCGTCAGTGTACATCTGGACATAGCCAGGAACGCGCATAGGCGAGATGTTCGCCGTGGTGTGTGCCAAATACAAATAATCACGTTCGAAACGTATACATGTGCGGGCGAAATGTGCAAGTATTCGCGAACGTGGATGGAGGTTCCCTGATTATACGCGAAATTAATTCTGACCGCGGGGTCTCGTAAAGAATAAGCTAAGCGTACAAACCCCTCGGAGGCAGTGAATTGTATATATACGCAAAGAAACGGAACTATGTGCGTCTACTTACCATTTTGTTGTTGATCTCGTGGAAATGAATTTCGCACACTTTGTCGACGACGTCTTCGCTTTGAAACGTGACGAAGCCGAAACCTGAAACAGATAAATCGGTAGGCGTTGAGAATATATATTTTTATTCAATACTTTAATTGTAAAATAGATATTTTCGCGAGAGCAACAGACTAGTGATACTGTCAAAAATCTTTTTGAGTTTCAGTCGGTCCAGAATTCAGATCAATTAAAAATCAAGAGTTATTAAAGACTTCCTATCGCTTTTCTAAGATGATTTTAAACTTATCTGGCAACACGGTGGGCCACGGTAACTTAGACATATTCTATCTGTCTATCTATCTATCTATCTCTCGTTTAGTCTGTCTTTCTTGCTCTTGGGTCACTGTGGCTTGAATTATTCAGAGCTCCCGGGAGTTATGAATCCACAGGCACGATGACGCTTGTGATTACGGCAGCGAGTTAGTGCGCGAAGACTCGCGCTGTAATTAAGTACGAAGCGACCAAAGGTGCAAGCTACTTCGCATAACTCCCACAAGTAAGAAGACGAAACAGAAAGCTAGGCTTATGTCAACATAAACATTGCGGAACTTAAACGCTTGCCTTTTTATTTGTAGGACTCTTTTTTTTAAAGTAGCAAGAAGGCTCTCGTGTAAAAACTGCTGACCCGCAATTTTCACGTACCAGAAGAAACTCGAGGATAATAACGAGAAAATACTAGCTTTGCAGTTCTAGGAAGAGATAATCTAGAAATCTCTCGAATCTTATATTCCAGTTTATTGTAATTAAGAAGAAAAATATCCTGTGGTGTTCAAAGTACTGAAAAAAGTGTATATTCATTGTGTCAACTCTACACGCTTCGATGTAAATGCCATTGCTGCCACTGCTCAGTCCTTTAATGATCATGTTACAAACTTGTTAAGATGTCCGTTCAAGTGCAGCCGAGAGAGAGAGAGAGAGAGAGAGAGAGGGAGAGAGAGAGAGAGAGAGAGAGAGAGAAGGGAAGATTTACTTCATTTACGTAATTTATAGTATTGTCTGTATATATACTAGTCAGCTACATAGAGGACAGAGCTGTTGCCGAAGTGACTCGACTCAGTGTAACACTAAACTAGTTGCCACCGCGATCTATTAAGCTGGTTCACTCCCAATCCTGTAGGGCTTTTCCTTAATAGGTCCTTGTGCGCAATATCATGCTCATCCCCTTACGTGCGGGTTGCTAAGAAGCCAATAATTGTTCTTATCGCACAACTCCCTCGTCTAATGTATTATCATGTGAATGGACCATTGCGAATAACTACTCGCATAACGATTAATGTTATTTTGTTTCGGTCATGGGGAATTTATGATAGAATATCTCTAAATTTTAGAAGATCAAATATCAATTCTTCTACTTCAGGATTTGCAAGAAAATACATCCACGTCCTTATAAAGGCAGTTCTTGCAATTAGTAGTAAGGTATGTTTCAGGTCAGACATACGACGGTGCCATTGTTTGGTCTGTTGTGCTTGATTAAATCCAAAACGGTCGTAATGAAGTCGAAATTCCAGACGCAATACATGGTCTAGCCTGCCGATATCAAGCACGACTTGGCTTGATTCGTTTTCCTTTTCAAGGGGTAAGGCCAAAAGTTATATATGCCAACGAATTTATTGCAGCCCAGTGTACGCGCTGCTCGCGCGTTTTACCGCCTTTCCAAGCAAATGACGCGTGCTCACGGCGATACGTCGCGCGGAATTAATGCGCTCACGTCTACGCGCCGCTGCACCGTACAAATTACATTTACGCGGCGGCGGCCAAGCCGGACGCAAATGATATTCCGATTTCCTAGGCTAGCTGGCTATGCCGTCGTATAGCTGTATCGTATATAGTAGTAGTTGTAGTAGTTCGGCAAAATGTATCGCACGGCCAGCCGTTGCACTGTGTTTTGTCACGCTAACGACCTGCCCTCCTCCCCGAGCCACGAGCTGCCTGCTGCCGTCGTTGCGCTCGATTGATTTCCGATTAATGCGTTGACTAGACTCTTTTTTTAAACAATGATTGACTTGCTTTTAGTTTAAGATCATATTTCTCTTGCCGACTTTTACCGAGACTTTTGTATTTTATTCTGAAATGCTTAATGACGCTCAGATAAATCATGAATGCTAGCGCGTAAGTGGGAGTCTCGTTAAAGCACTGAGTAAAAAGAAAAAATTTAACGAAATTGCAAGAGAGCAGATGAAAAAGTATATTACAATTGTATCCGCAATGGCGGCAAGAATCTCAATAAATTTCACGGGGGCGTCCTTTCTTATTCGAAATTTTCATAAGAGAATATATACATATATATGTATATGTTCAAAGTCTCGAACCGAGGGCGTCAGTTTTGCCCGTGCGGTAGAAGAAAACTGCAGGCTCAGCGTCACCCGCTCACTTCTCTCTCTCCCTCTCCCTCTCTCTCTCTCTCTCTCTTATAAGGAGCTAGAGAGTTGGACGACAGATGTGCTCATCGGCAATAAAAGTGAAAAAAGCGAGTTTTTAGTTCAACGCTTAAGCGGCGCGGTCTATGGGTAAGGTTTGAAGAAAATTGTTTTTCAATAAGACCGTAAACGATCGAAGAGGCTACACCGTCGCGCTGAGCCAAGGCAGATGAAGAAGTGAGACAAGCTCCGCCAGCACTTACTCGCTCTATTTCTTTCTCGCTCGAGCGTATAAAACGTATGACTGGCATAACCGAATATAGTTCTCACTTTTTTTAATCTCCGCGTGCATGAAAGATGGTTATGGGAAGTTTTTCTTTTTCATGATGAAAGTTTATCCATATATCCTCGACACATGATATTCTAAAGAATAATTGTCAGTCTACGCGAGTATACGTCAACCCTACAACAAACACTCAACTTGAACTTTATCATAACGTTACTCTTAATTCTTTACCTGAGTCCTTTTGTTGAATTGTATTAAAATTTGAATGGCACACGTGCTTACAAGGCATAGAAAAAAGAAACGATAATGAAACAATACGAGCTAACAAGGACATCGCGTGCACGAGTCTCCCACCTCTTTTTTGCAGCAGCCTATTTTCCGTAATTCATTGCCTCATTATCCTCTCTTCATACACGTGAAAGAGAACGAGCGAGCAATGCGAAAAAAGTAGTTCTCCTCCACACTTTGCCACCCCGACTCACCTCCCCGTTTGGCACTTGACACCGTCCATTCGCAAAGTGCCATTTTTTTGTACCTCGTTCGTGTAGCAGCGGCAAAAATTTTTTTCTCACTCTCTAGTCGTTGAAACGCGCTTTTTTCTGACGCAGCTTATACGCATCATCGAGCATAATGGCCGCACGCGTGTCAACATTTAAAAGCTACATGCTATGTAGCTCGAGTTTCACGTGCACATAGAGAAAAGGAGAGAGGCGTTCATTTAAAGTGTTAAAAAGGTTCCTCTGAAGGTGTCCTCAGCGCGACTTCAAACTCGCAAATGGATACTACTTGTCGCACGAGCATAACGCGTGCTCGCCTGACTTCACTCTCTCTTCCTCCCTCTGTATATGTACGTGTTTTTGCCGCTTTCTCGCTTGACTTTGCTCTTTTCCGTCCCTTTTTTTCATTCTCTTTTTTGCGCGCGCGACAAAAGAACGCGCCAGCGATATTACACTTGCACTGCTACGTTCTATCTACGCTGCACACAAGATTGAAATTGTTCTATTTTCAACGCTTACGCGTACGTTGTATATACCTTGCTAAAAGTTGTAAATTATATAAAAACATTAAGTTTTTCTACTAAAAACTGGGCTAAGTGTTTTTATGACAATGCGCTTTCCACAAGCTATTTCTATGAGAAGGTTTTTCTTTTACATACCTAAATTATGATTAAAATGTTTTGCATACTTATTTGTATACATAGAGATCAGATGACGTAACAAAGACGAATTAATATCATTTCACGACAATTGGTCGTTTGTCGAATTAGCATAACTTGGCTATTACTCAAGGAATCTAGCTAGTCCGACAGTCGGTGTAGTCTGATAAGGCACGGCAACGATCTTCAATTAATCTCCCATTCGTTGGTCGATGTTAGTTCGCTTTCTCTCTTTCTCTTTCTCTCTCTCTTTTTCTCTCTCGAAAAAAAGCAACTAAAAGAATCGCTTGAGTACTTAGAAAAACGCAACGACATGGAATTAAGAATAGATGCACTCTCGGATAGTTTCGAGTTCCGTTTCGCTCGAGAATAGTGCTGGATTACCAGTGAAACTGAGTCAGCGCCACTCGCTCGCGCGCGCAAGATAATGCGGGAAAAGCTCGGCTTACTCTTCTCCCTGTAATTCCTTGTTAAATATCGTTCCGCGCGTATAAATGTTACAACAGTGCTATCTTATTAAACGGTGAGCAGTTACCGAGCGAAAGAAAAAAAACAGATCAAATCCAAATTATAATTTAGCCACTAGTAGAGCAGCCAAGTTTTTCTTTTTCTTTTCTGTTTAGCTAAAGTTTCGCATGGAAAAAACGACTTAACGGAGAGAAATGCGGAAGACAAAGACGACTTCTCCTCCCATTGAGAACGTAGTCTTTTTATTTGATTCCACAGTTGCTAATTTCAACGGTTCTCTTTCTGGACAAACTTTGTCTTCTCTTTCTAAAAAAAGTAGAGTCTTCGTTGAAATAATTAAACATTCGTTAATTCGAGAAATTAATTAAGAAGTCAAGAGGACTGAGAACTTGATGCTTAGCAGCTTACGATACTACAAGTAGAGCGAACGGACGTAAAACTTTGCTTAGGAATTAACAATTTATTGCATTGAATAATTAAATTATTGAGAAAACTTGTAATTCAACCAAGTTGCACGATACATTTCTAATAAAAAATAAACAACTAGAGTAGATAGTTCCATAGTTCTAATGGAAGAAACACAAAGGTACAGGCCGCAGAGGACATTGACGTTGTCGTCGGCGAAGGTTGTAACGTCGAATTGTTCGAGTCTCGTAAGGCGCCGCGTACACGCCAAGAAGTTTTAAGTCGGCGTCGTAAAGCGCCAATAGTAACAGTTATTATCGGTCAGACTCGAGGCGCGCGCAAGAGCTACGCGAGACAGGAAGTTAGTGGC